TCATATTCAACATTATAATGTATGACAACATATACAGATTATAATATATTTTACATCTGATGATGTCTCTAATAAAGAGTCGAAAATTCATGGATAAATTAGCATTATGATTCCATTATCGTATTCAACTGCATTATCTATTCTTTATATTTAATAGTGATTAATACCAAATCTTTTTACAATCAACGAAAAATGTATTCAACTGAACTTTTATTAAAATTGTATGAAAGATTACAGCCAAAAACTTCATGAAACATTATATTATAGTGATGATTATAAAGGAGAAATATTCAAGAATCTATTTCAAGGCTTAATGCATGACTTTTGCTTGGTGAATTTTTACAATTGTAATTCAAAATCAGTATCAAGCGGATTTGATTTACAATTTCTACCAATGCATATTGTATCTATTCTTGAAATTAAAAAAAATATGAAAGATAAAGATATTAGTCAACTTTTACATTATTTCCAAATAGTACTTGATTATTCGCCAAAATCTCGAACATATATAATTGGTGCTATTACAGATTTTCATTATATACGATATGGTAAAGTTTTGAGATCAAATAATGATCATAATTTTATATATATGAAGCATCGATAAAGCCTATTACTAATCCAGATGAATTTTTATTAAATTATTTAACAAATTTCTTTACAATTGATTCATCACAATTGGGATTTGATACATTGGTTCAATTACCTAAAAATATTCAAATTCACAACACTTTATAAGGAGTTGGTGCGAATTCGATTGTAATGAATTGTTTTATGGATAAAAATGAACTTAATCAATATTCTCTTAAAATCTTGAGGGTGTGGGTACCTCTTCTCTTACCTCACACCGACATCCTCACGATTTTACTCTTAATCATTCAGATTATGTTAAAGTCTAAAAATAATAAACCGTTTTGATAAAATCTAAAGATAATAAATATTATGGTGAGATAATTAAATTAGATATATAATTGTTGATATTTTAAATGAAATAACATTAACACCTACTTTCATCGTCAGATTATTCGAAAAGAGTACATAGGTCTGTTTTTAAGCGAAGCTTTTTTTTTTATTTTTTTTTGTTGCAAAGTCTTTTAATTTGACAGAAAAATATAGCAATATTTTGTCGTCTCTTTGATCTGTCAATTGTATGTCTCTGTTTCATGCAACTTAGAATTTTTTTTAAAGCATGCGAAGCATAATTGTTTTTCTATATAGTAGTAATTATGTATAAATGATCGACGCTTCTGGAACGATCTGTCTTGGCGATTTTCGAACACAGCATACGATGATTTTTGTCAACGCCGATATGAGAAGTTTTAAAACGGATAATGGACCACCCAGAATAAAAAACATTAGAAAGACAATGTAAATTGTATTAATTTTCGTATTGTCAGCAGTGGTCTGATAAGAACAGTATTCTGGACTACATGCCTGATAGTACTGTGTATAGGAATATGACCAACCCAAGCGCTCTGTCATTAAATTAGATAGAAGATTGTTAACAGTTGTCGTTTTCGGATACCGACTTAGCGATGGCGAGTCAACAAGAGCTAATACAGGTATTGGCGATGATAGTAAATAACTTTGTAATTTATCTATACAGGTTTGATGATAAAGACATTCAAGAGTTGATTGAAGTAATGATTCAATCACATTGCATCCTGTATAAAAACCAGTTACATTGAATAATCTTGCCATAGTATTATAATTGTAAATCGACGACTGATGAATACAATTAGCTGAAAGAGTACAACTGCAGCCATCGTAATTCTTTGCCGTCACGAATACATTACCCGTATTTTTGCTTTCATACAGTTGATAGTTTGTTTGCAGTCCAGAAAACAATGCATTGACTTGAGTAGTGTCTTGAATCATCTTGAGAGATAATAAAAACCTATCTGACATTGATGACTGAAACTGATTTAGTATTGGTGAAATTTGTTCTTGAAACATTACTGCAGGAATGGCAAATCTACTGAAATATTGACTTGAATAGAACTGAACGAAATTATTCTTAAGCGTGTTTTTAGCTAGTTCACAAAACATGCGTAAGGCTTGAAATGCATGTGAACCAGTTATTCGAAAGTCGTCCCCATAAAATGTAGATCCATTGTCCGTAGCAAGATGACGAATCCATGTATCGCTGACAAAAGTACTATTACATACTTGATGTAATATGGGGGAGGCAGAAATAAAGTTGTCGTAATTGATCGAAATTTCTGTGCATGGACATTGCAGAGTCTTTGCATATTTGGAATTCAATGCTTCATATACATCGAGACTAGGTTGGTAAACACTCATAGTTTGGGTAGTTTCTGTACCCATCAGAAATCGTATATAGAAGAAAGGAATTATTAATAATGCGATTAGTAAAATAATAAATAATATTGTTGCAATTCGCTCTATACGAAGAACGCATTTGTCGGTTGAAGGTGGCACAGATGGGAACAAATTAAAACATTGGATGCTTTCCTTTAAATTATTCCAACATCCAGAGTTTTGGCCAGGAATGTTGGCCACTAAAAAACAAAAATTTAGAAATGATGAAGCTATTAATCAAGAGACAGTTCGTGATCGATAGAATCCTTTTGTGAGAACCATTCGCAATATTGCTCGTAATAGAACTCGAAATTACTATTTCTAGCGAAATGCATCATATAAGATTATACGTACTGCTTATTCCAGGAGCCAATAACCGGTACGATGGATGAGGATAGGATATGAAATGCGTCGTTGATAGTTGTTATATGTTGATGTATTCACTGAATATATGTACTATGAATTGTTGATTGTTAATTTGAAAAAATAAGCAGAATAATCTAAATATTTTAAACATATATCACTGATCTGTCTTTGTTTCCTATATCACAACTTGTGACTAAAATAAAAATCTTTTACTAACTTTTTCAGTAGTTATAAGAGAGAAGGTTTATATGATGCATACTTCCTTACCGTGACAAAATTTATTTCAAACCTTCTGTCGCAGTTATAAAAGTATTTCCTTCTCTATTATCTAATTTATATAAGAAATAAATATTTTTCTTTTTTTCTACCATGGCTAAGAGACATTCCTATGTGAACTACAACGATCATGATAAAAGCCATTCTTTTTTCCACCTCTCTTCTATGAGTATACAACATCTCCATCAGGTTTATAATTAAGATTTAGTTTTTCTTGTAGATTTCATCAGTATTTGTTTTATTCGGTATATAACATAAAAGAATAAAAAAAACAATTATAGACTAAGTCATTCATTATGAAATATAACTATAATTACACATCTATCATTTAAAAACTCATAAAAATCGACACAACTTTATTGTAAAGATGAAAAAAGAAAAGAAAAGCTTTTCTTATCCAGTAAGCATATTGAATAAATACCATAGATCCACAAGATTTTACAGTAAAGTTGGAGTGAAGAAAAAAGCTTTTATTACGTAGTTATTATATTTAATAAATATTAGAAAACAAATGAACATGACTTTATTGTAAAGATGAAAAAAAAGAAAAGAAAACGTTTCTTACCTATTTATCATATTTAATAAATACTGCAAAAAATCACAGGATTTTACAGTAAAAGGTGTAGGTGTGTGCGGGTGACAGTGGATTTGGATGCATGTAGGTATTCACTTTATCATTACCCACATCCACTCTCAAGATGGATATTTTCGAAAACCGCGTCAGTTTTCGACACTTAAAAGGTTCTGTATGAAAATTACGAAACAGTTTACATGTCATGAAACTCCAAACCATTTTGTAAAAAGTATTAAACCTTGAAAGTTGGATAGAGCACCTGCTTTCTATAGTACAGTATCATTTTTGAATGCTAGTTTAATATATGTAGAAAATGGTATTGCACTCCTTCTTTGTTTGTGAAGTAATGTTCGCCCTATGTTTAAAGGATCTAAACGATAAATAAAATCATATCATCTTAATGTTTTAAAGCTAGGCGAGTCATAGTCTAATCTTCTTTTCACAGCGTCAATAATATAGCTTAATTATATGCAGAGCCCATAAATAAAAGTCTGAAGTGCTTTTGATAAAAAGCATCTTATGGGTAAGGATGAGGGTAGGTGCGGGTGTGGTTGAAGGTGTGGGCATTATACACATCCGCATCCATACCGTCACTTCTAGGCACATTCACACCCACATCCCAGCGGCTCAGCACCTATTCAGCCCCGGATGACAGAAAAGTACCGATTAAACATTGGAAAAGTGTAAAAAAGCCGAATGTCAGTGTCGGTGAAAGCGTGAGTGTTATTGTAATCATACATACACCCACACCCACACCCTCTAGAACACGATTTCTATGAGAAAGAGCTAAGAGAGTCCCTAGACGAGCGTTGCTTGTTTCATAATCATCAAAGCAAGAGGTATGTTAAACAATAACTACTCATTCGCCACTGCGTCAATTGATCTTTTTCTCTTTTTAATAATTAATTACAATTTTTTTTTTTATGAACAACTAGCTTTGATGTATTAATAATTGATTGGCAGGGTACACGTGAAGTTGGTTTCGATCAAGAATATTCTGAAACATTGTCAACCGCTTCGAAGTCTATACTTGATCATTTAGCTTACAAAAGAAATAAAGAAACCATATGTTTACCCGTTGACGATTGTGTTTCGTTTATGAAAGTAGTCCTATTAGAAATACTTCCAAAAGAAATCAAAGAAGAAATTCAAGTAAAAGTAAAACAAGGTTTTTATTCTAGTATTAATTTAATTTATGAACAAATATATAAAACATGTTAATGAACAATTGATTATAATACAACTTATTCAGTTTTTGGAAAAAAATCGATCGAAATTGAATGGTGAAATTTTAATTTCTTATATGAATCAATGCCTAAAAAAACATTATTGTTTACGTCAACTTAAAAATCAACAAGCAGACATTGATTATTTTCGAGGTGGTCTTGTTGGATCTTTATTTTGAAAAGTATATTTTATTGCATCATTATAAACATAAACCATTATTCGTTGTTTTCTTTTCGATTTCTCAGCTATTAATTAAAAGAAACTATTTGAACAAAATTCTTGAAATATTTTCTTTATTTCGTTTACAAAAATAGTTCACATATAGACAAAGAGATTCATATTATTATTAAAGTTCAATAACAAATTTATGGTATGTTGTATAAATATAAATAAATTTATTAAAAACAATTGTAGAATAATATAAAGTATAACTGACACAAGACTGGTAGAGTTTATTGACAAATATCGATGATAATTTTATATTTTGATTGTATTATTACTTATATATAGGTGAAAAGAATATATATTTCCGTTAATAAACTTAGATGTGATCGATTCGATAGCACCGTAAAAGAGAAAAATAATCTATTGGTAATGAATAATAATCGTTATATTCAATCTAATTTCTAACTGAAGTGTATGAGTATGGGTGTAGATGCGGCTCCGAGCCTAAGTGTAAGTAGGTGTGAGTTTGCGTGTAGCTATAGAGGTATAAGTCACACCCATACCCTCACATCCACACCCACGCGCACGCACTCACATTAACGCCCACACCCAGAATTCGCTTCCCATTCATATATCTTTCTCTGCTTAAATAATCGTTGAACTAAACAATAACAATATTTCAAAAAAACAATCGTCAACTTTCTCTTTTTAACTTTCTAAACTAAAATATAATGGTAATATAATAGCTGGCAAGCATAAATCTTTAGAACTTCTTTTATTGAATATGCAATTATAGAAAGATATAAATCCGATCCATAATTGACCTATTGAACTGGTAATCTAAACGGAAATCTTTGTCTATAATAGGATTCATCGTCCAGAAAAATTAATTTCGTTTTACATGTATTCGAATCTTTTTTCAACAGTGAAATTGCCTGTTGAAATTCATTATTGAAATGTTCACCATAAATAAGATCAATAGAACAATAAGCTCCACTAAATATAAGATTTGCTAAAACAGCTGAATCATGTCCTTCAATATCAGTTTTCATCATTACTTTTGGTTGCATAATCCCAGGTGGTATTTTTCGAGTTAGTACTGTTCTTTTAAACCAAGATATAACATCAATGCCTTGTACAGTGACATTTACCTTCATATCATGCGCTATTAAACTTGCACCCCATTGATTATTTTGGTTATCTTCAGGATTAACATAAAAAGTAAGATTTTTATCTGTATAACTAACAGCAGTTGATTTAAAAATCTTCACACGCCAGTTTCGTGCTAAACAATACTTTTCAAATTCTGTTAAATAACTATCATGTGAAGGATTTGCTTCAAATCCAACCGAACAAACTTCATTAGAATTATTTCCAAAGATATTTTTGAAATGTTGAAGAATAAGTGCATCTGGATACAAATGTGGTTCATAAAGTTTTCGAATTTGTATACCAATATTTGTTCCCATATCAATATAAACATATCTGCAGCCATCAAGAAAATTATTTTTAGGCATATTCCAACTGTTTGTTTTTATATATGGTTCTTTTTTTAATACAAGGCCGAAAAAAATAATCGCAATGAATAAAGAAATAAATATTGTAATGCTTATCTGAATACATGAGAACATATAATAGTGAAAGTTACTTTTAAAAATAATCTTAGTTTACCGTTCTAAGTTGGAACATCGATATGAATGTCATTTTAGTTGCGTTTCAAAACGAAAAAAATAAAAAATATTTTATATTCTGTTACGTGATGTTAACGATC